TACCAAGAAGTAGATTGTGGTCTACTTTGTCAAATGCCTTGCTGAAATCTAAATTTAGTCACTATGTTGAAGAATGAAATAAGATTGGTTTGGCATGATCAGTTTTTAACAAACCTATGCTGACTGCTAGTTATTACTTTACTTGTTTCTAGATGTTGGCAGATTTTTTTAAAATTATCTTTTACAGTATATTCCCGGGTATTGATGTTAGGCTGATTGGTCTATAGTTTCCTGGGTCTGTTTTTTTCCCTTTTTTGAAGATGGGAACCACATCAACTCTTTTCCAGTCCTCTGGTAGTTCCCCGGTGCAGATGAAAGAATAATGACTTTCCCCCCTTCCTCACCTGACCTAAACCCTATTGAGAAACTGTGGGCCCTTCTTAAATGGGACATTTACGGCAAAGGAAAATGGTATATCTCTCTGAACAGTGTCTGGGAGGCTGCGGTTGCTGCTGCACAAAAAGTTGATCACCAACAGATAAAAAACTGACAGACTCCATGAATGGAAGGCTTATGACTGTTATTGAAAAGAAGGATGTCTATATTGGTCACTGATTTTTTTAAAATATCAGAAATGTTTATTTGTAAATTTTGAATTGTTAGTTTATTATTCTCACTTAATAGATGCAAATAAACAAGTGAGATAGGCAAAATTTCATGTTTCATTTACTTGCATAATAATTCTGCACACTAATTGTGCGCACATAGATATTCTCCTAAGCCAAAACCTCACTTTTACTTTCTTATATATTCAGGTTTGAGGTTTATTAACATTTTGGATTGACCGAGAGCACTGTAGTTATTCAGTAATAAAATTAATCCTCCAAAATACAACTTGCCTAAAATACAACTTGCCTAAAATTGTGCACAGTGTATGTATGTCATGTTGAGCTCCTAAATGAAAGATGGGAAATATATCTAATGTCCTTTTTCTGCCACTGTCCCTTAGAAAAGACCACAATTATCTCATAAACCTTGACATAACTGTTTCTATAAAACAGGGAATTATAGTTACGACAATCTGAACAAGAAAGTATTTTACATTAAATACAAACCAGAATTTGCTTGATTTAGTCCTAGTAATGAAAATGTCTGGCTGTGAATAAAGACCAATGATTAATTGAAGATGTATTTACTTAATCTGAGCATGGTAAACTAGAAAGACAAAAACAGCTGCATGAGCATAGAGCATGCAGACACAACGCTTCTGCATTTCTTAAACTGTGTTCCCTGTGGCCGGATTTTCATTTATTTGATTAGCAGTCAGAGGCTTTTCCACAGGCCTCCTACACAAAATCTAATCTAAGTATTTATTAAAATGAAATAGATCTTTTAAAACATTTTTGTAAAAATTTGGCAGCAATCAGGATTTCTGTGAAAGACACATATTACAGCAAACCCTCAATTTAATAGACCCCTATTTAGTCAACCTTGAATATAGCAGATCAAATTTCTGCTGACTGCTTTCTGAAATAATAGACAAATTATTGCAATTATTGTAATGAAGTCTAGAAATTTATGAAATGTTTATCTTAATTTTACAACTTCTACAGGTGATCCCAGGAGGAGAGGAGTTACTTTAACTGTCTGGATCTTTTTTGGTTAAATTTAACTCTTTTGAGGTTAAATGACCTCTTGCCTTGGTGTTCTCCAACACACTATATTCCTCCATTGAATCAATTATATTGCCAGAACAATGCAAGTATGAATTTTAGCAAGAAATCAGAAAACACATATGGAATGCTACAAGTGCTACTATAATTTGTAGATAAGAGCTTCTTATTCTGTACTTTACGAAAATTTGCAACAGTGGCCAAATATATACAACACATTTTTCAGGGTAAAAATCAAATTAATGTGGATTTGAATACTTCCTGGAATAAGAATCACAGATACACAAACACAAGACATGTCTGAGAGAATAATTAGACATATAAATTGACTGCAACTTTGATTCAGCCTTTAAACATACAATCTCAACCATAAGCAGATAAGTCTTCATCATCAACAGGTTTACAACATGAGCATTTAGTTTTAGGTAACAATTTCACACTGCAGAACTGTTCTTGTCTATATAATTGTTACAGTATATATTAGTTTACCAAAGCTGGACTAGCCAAAATGTAGTCTCACTGGTAAAAGGAAATATCTGTTACTTTTTAACATAAATTCTTTAGCATCTAAACAGCCAAGCTAGAATTCAAAAAATAATTATGTATGCACAAGATATATTAAAACTGAGATTTATTTATGTGTGGACATGCTTAAAATTATATAATCACCCTTTTTAATAATGGATTTGCTTAAATAAATACAACCTCTGTAGATGTTAATTCTTAAACAGACTATTTGCCACCATTATACACAGCCTATGCCTAGTTACATTTAAAAAAAATCCAGAAACAGGTAGCCACAGTATTTTTTTCTAGCAATTTTTTTTAAAAAAATGTTAACCAGAATGTACCATTTTTCAAATCCTTCATTATATCTGAAGAAGCTCAAGTTATGTATTTATAAAAAGATTAGCATTATATTATTTACCTTCCTCTGAATTCCACAAATTCTGAAGAAAGAACTTCAGCCCTAATAGGGTTGCGGGGGAAGGGACTTTATGCTACAGACATATCTAAGAAATATGACAATAAAACAACAGCTTTATATAAATGATGTAACAACCATGTACTTTATTGTTTATATTATTCAATTTGACAGACTCAAGCATCCCCTCCAATTCTAAGTTGCTTACATCAGAGTTTCTGATTTTTCATTTTAAAATATTGTATAAGTTCAGGAGAAAAAGCCCTACAAGACCACTATAGCAAACTCTAAATAATGGGGTAATGAATGTATTTAGATCAAACAGCACCATCTAGCAGTTCCCCACCAAAGGGTATTCCTTATTTGATAGTGGCTCAGCTTACCTTATATACTGACCAAGTTCTACAATATTTAAGACATGTAGACTTTCTAAAGAATTCCAATACAATAAAAATTCTATACAAAGATTCACCCCAAATGGTAATTTATATTTGTTTTCAATCAGGCTTTAATTAGATTTAATGCAAATGTATGGATTGTCAAAGAACACACAACAATCAGGAGTATGGCTAGTTTTATCCCAAGAGATACAAGTTTCTGTTACACATACAGCATAGCTTTATGTGATTCACTATTTTAAACATCCACTAATTTCTGTTTCAAATTTAGTTTTCAGTCCCTATCTTTATACGCTTTCTGTGCCAATATAAAATATTGGAAAAATCACTTGGCTTACTTCTTTGTCTTTGTAATCAGGAAGTAACTATCCTTTTCAGAATGTAATAGAGGAGAAAATCTTTAGTTGAAGATTCAATGAAAGTGCCTCAAGAGAAATGTCTCAATCTTGCTTTGCACATTCATTTTCATGTTGTATAAAAGTTCCAAAGTTATGTACAATGACATTTTAAAAGGTCCCATATATCAAACCATTTCCGAAGAGATATCCGTAATTCCAACACTTCATCCTGTATCTAATACACTACTTTACTGAAGACTGTTCAGAAGAAAAAAATATGCAATAAATAATTTCTGATTCAGCTGGGCACATCCTAACCAAAAAAGAAAAAAAAATCCTTCATAAACAACTCTGTGTGTTCTACTATTTTCAGTGAGGAAAATGAAAGTTGTAATTACAACTGACAACACTGAAAACTGAAACTTTAACAGAACTTTAATTCACAAGCAAACTTAATATACAAAAACGGTCTTTTACATTTGCTTACTAGTAATGTGTTATCACTACTTTCTAATATAATCATTTGGCTGAATTCTTTATTATGGTAACAGTCAAAAATTATAGCAAATTATTGTTAGCGAATGTTATCTAAATATTTTTTCATGTTTTCCATACCACTTCATGCTTAGTTTAAAAGTTTTGATGGGTTTTGTTTTGTTTTTTGGTAACTGAGGAAATAATTATTACACTGAAATTAAATACTTTTCTGTAAATGGAGACTGTATCTTTACCAATAGTCTAAAGGGCTTCCAATTCACAACTGCTTTCAACACGTCTACCACCCCAGGATTATCTACAAATCCTCCCCAAACCCAGAGCCAACAAAATCTTCTCTTTCGCTTTACAGTTCGATTTCACATTTCCCCCTCAACAATCGCGATTTCACCAACAGCCCTTCTTCCTGCGTACCAGGAGGCCCTTGAAAGATAGAAACTACAAACTACTTCGCTTTATTTTTGAAATGCACGCAGCACCTACCCCTATAAGACCCAAAGCAAGAGCTTACAGATCTGTGCAAAAAAGGTAAGGGGTGAAAGAGACCCTGGATCTTGGGTGGGGGTGGGGAGAGCGGGAGAAGAAGAGAGTTGAGCGTGGCGGAGTTGAGGGTTTTGTTTCTTTCCCTCCAGCGGAAGCTTCAGACGAGCACACGGCACGGACTCTTTTGTTACCAAAGTTACTCCAACACCATTTTTTCCCCTTCCCCCAAAGCGACACCACAAAACCAAGGAGGTGAAGGCAGGGAGAAACAAAACCAAAACACTGGGAGAGGACCCTGAGCCTCCGCACTAATCCGACTCTGCCCTCCCGCGGAGCCAGGCACCACACCGTCTGTCGGAACCACTTTCTCCCCTCAGACCCAGCCAGCTAGTCTTTCCTCGCCATCTGCAGCACAAGAAAAGCGCAGTAGACACGTCCCGTCTTGTCCTGCTCCCAGCCCACGCGGGAAAGAGCGCCCGAGACCCGCTCCCCCGCTTCCCGAACGAGGTCCGGCGCACTCCTCTCCCCTGGCTCGGAAGCGTCGCGCATACCCTCCACTCTACACCCCGACTTGTAGCTTTCCCCCCTCCGCCTCTCCGATCTCCTCTTCTTTCCCGCGTCGGGGTGAAGCTCCCCGGTCTCAAGCGAGGCCCCCTCTCTCATAAGCGGTAAAGTTACTTTGTGCGGGGCGTACGCGCGCCCACCTCCCCGCCCAGTCAGGCTGTGCGGTCCAGCGGGCTGTACTCACTTCTCTCTGGCCTGGCTGTCGGACGGGACGCTGCTGTTGCTCTTGCCTTTGCCGTACATGCCTGCAGAGAGCTCCGACTGTCACGCACCTGTCAACCCATCACAGCCTCCCCAGGAACAGCCCAGTCACCATGGAGACGCTGCCACACACACACGCCATTGGCCCGCTGCGAGCTCGGACACACCTCCGCCCTGTGATTGACACGCAGAGACCAGGACAGGCTGCTCTCTCTCCTCCTCTCCGCTGGCTGCCTCCCCCCACCAGCCTCCGGCTCCTCCTCCCCCTCCCGCTCTCCCTTCCCCGGCGCAAGGGGGAATTAGAAACGGTTCTAGAAGGATTTTAAACAACTGGCTGTTCCGTGCTCTAGTCTCTCCGCCCTCCGCCGCTGCCAGAGACGAAGACTACTGAGGAGAGACGGAAACTGCGGACTGGACTCCATCGCCCGCACCACCCAGGACGGCAGAGGATTTTTCGTCCGCTTCGCGCGCTTTCGTCACCCGTTTCGCCCTGCAACCCCGCAACCCGCTTAGCCAGCAAGATGCTCCTTTCGACAGACCTCGCTCCCTCCGTCTTTTCCGAGCGGGATGGTTACCAGCCGCTGCTGATTCCCCCCAACAAGTCAGAGCCCGATTATTCACAGCCCTTGCAGTTTCTCCCGCCACGCCGGGGACACGCCCGCCCGCCCGCTGCGAGACCAGCGTTCCCAGGGCCTGACGAGTCCCCCACCCGTCCGTCAGTCAGTTAGGCGGCACCGACCTCCTGCCCCGTCCCGGTGGTGCCTTCTTGACCCAGTCCCTACACCGAGAGCTGTTTTTCAAGCCAACTTCCACACAGACAATACATTTGCAAGACTCTCTGTGCCCCTCAGTCTCCAGCCCTGAGCAACCGACGGCATAACATTCTCAGGCCGGCGGAAATTGCAGAGTTGGTTCCCAGATGAATCTACTGTACAGAGATGTTTTAAAAAACAAACAAACCCAGATTATAACAGTTAAGTCTCTGAAGATGCTACTAAGAAGGGTTTGGCATTTTGCAGACTCTGGGTCCCCCTGAAATCTAGAGATCCAAAACCATGGAAGGAATTTAAGGATGAAGCCTTATAAGATAGGCAGTTGTCCCATGTCTTTCATATATATACTTTGGTGGAGGCCCAATTGACATCACTGTCCATGTATCATTCTTCCATGTTTTCCTGCTGATTCTTTCCCCTTTCTTACTGCAGAAATCAACTAAGAAGGAAAAAAGAGACTACCAGCACAGTGATTGGAAGTTCTAGGAGCTATCAGCCTGGAACCACCAGAATCTTTCTGGATGCACTTGATTTGAATTGTGCATCAGTGGTGTAGTATAAGTGTGTCTTAAAGCTCCATGGCCACTGCTGATTGTGTTATAAACATCCATAATATTTGGGAATCCAGTTTTTGCCTTCCTAAAAGTCCAACCAGGCCAGGTCATGTCATCAAGCTCAATTCAAAGAAAATGGTTTTACATTTTTTGTATACCAAGTCACTATCTGAATTTGCATCATGCTTAGTTCCATTCCCTACCACAGCTTTCTTCTTAGAATCAAGAGGGCACACATCAAATAAATGAACCAGAGTCAATTGGTTGAGTTGGGCCACTATAAAAAACTGAATAAATAAAAATACAATAAAGTAATCTGATTTAATAAATTCCCCTTTGGCCAGCCCCAATGTTTGTAAGACCAAATTGGTTCACAGATTCATGTGAAGCCCTCAGGGAAGTAGGACAAGAGTAGAACATTTCAGATCATTTTCAGGCCAAGATCTATTATTTAGGTTTTTGATAAACTTTAATGAAGTAAAGGCATGCTTCATATATCCTTATGATTACTTCTGCTTTAATTCAAAAGACTTCAACTATTCACCCTAGTTTATACATTTAAAATGCAATTAGACCATGGAGATGTTAGTAAAAAGAGTAACCCATGAAAAACTAAAGCTGATTTCTGGTTTTGGGAATAGGATGCTAAATAAAGTTGTGGAAATAATTAAACATAGGAAATTCACTAGAACAGTGTTTGCTAGGTAAACAATATGGCTACATGGTGAATATATCTAAGGTTTGTGTGGATCTATACCATCTCTTAAAAATAATATGAAAAAGAAGAAAACTATTTAAGGATGCAAGCAAGAAACCAGGAGACGAGTTCTAGTCTTGCCTTAACATGAAAGCCAACTCTGTTTCTCACTCTCTCTCAGCCCACAATGTTGGGCAAGAAGCTGGTTGTTTAATTCCTGTTACAACCAATGGATCAACTTTCAGTTTATTAAAAGAAAAAAAGGGAGAGGGCTCTGCATTTGTAGAAGAAAAGTTAGGAAGAAAAGCATATGTAAAACCATTTTTTTCACGGTAAAAAGTAGGGAAATATGTAATTTAGAAATTACATTCCCATTCTCTCTCAGGGCAAGGCTGGATTCACACACACTGTATCATAAGCCATAATGTGATTTGTTTTGCTAAGTGTGTTGTGTGATCCTAATGTTCTAACCAGCCTAAGTTTCAAGCAAAAGCAATTCTGCATCTGTGTATGCTGCATATACTGTAATTAGTTATAGCAGAAATTCTGCTCTATGGGAAGCTCCTCCTAAAAATTGAAACCAGAAAACATAAAGGCAACCCCCATAAAGTTACAACCTTAAGTAAAGATATAGATCAACCCTAACAGTAGCAATTACTTTTTTGTTGCGTTTGTATCCTATCTCTTGTGGAGTGGTTTGCTACTTGAGATTGAATTCCAAGTGAGAAATCAAAGGCAGAGCAGAGACAATAGTCCAAGAAACTGGTTCCAGAAAAAATCAAGGATCAAAATGTCTTCTTAGATAGTTCTTAATCATGATGATGGTCATACTCACAAATTTTATTTGCAATGAGATTTCTTTGGAAGTCTTAGGCAGATTTTCAGCTGACATTAGACTGAACTGCTCAGCATTATTAAGAACAAAGATGTCAGCAGACTAAATGATGGCTTTTCTGGTAACAGGCAGTCCATTAGATACCCAAGTTTTGACACACTTGGGTTTAAAGGTGACAACCAACATTTTGTAATGAATCTTGTACAAAGTGAAAACTGCTACAAATCATGCAACCACATTCTGGATCAGTTGAAACGATTGACCCATCTCCAAAGCCAACCTACCATAAATACATGATGGATTTGGTCCAGGCACCAGGCTGGAACCATGAGTTCAAGTCCCATCTCAATTATGAAACCAATTAGGTGACTTTGGGTCACTCTCTGTGATACAACTCACCTGTTGTTGTGGAGAAAATAGAAAGGCATGAAAATGTTCAATGCCTTGAGATATTTGTAAAATAGCAATAGCCCTTAGGTTTATATACTGCTCCATAGTGTTTTACAGCACACTCTGAGTGATTTAAAATGTCACATATTGCTCCCAACAATTCTCATTTTACTAACCTTGGAAGGAAAGAAGGCTGAGTCAACCTTGAGTCCCCTCAGGATCGAACTGCAGACTTTGGGAAGAGCTAGACTGCAATCCTGTATTCTAACCACAGCAGCACCAGAGTTCAAAATAATAAAGGTGGGATACAAACAACAACAATAACAACAACAAAGTATGCAATGTCAATCAACACCTGACAACGAAGAAACAGTGCAGTTTTGGAATAACCCAAAGAATAAGGACACAGTTTGTTTAAAGGAGGTGGATAAGAATAAAAAAAAGCTGAAATGAAAGAATTTGTAATAACAGCAGAAACAGTGGCAAACAAGGCAGGGAAGATCAAGAATTGGTCAGCAGCAGAGGTGAAGAGGAACTGCATGATTTTTGATGAAAATGTGACTGATAGACACCCACTCATTGCCAAATAGTTTAACAACATGCTGCGGAATAGTGGCTAACATCTGACAAAACCAACCTGATAATGAATGAGCCATCAAAAGGGGCAGCACCAGGCAACTACAGGCCAATTACTTGCTTACCAACAATTTTCAAATTGCTAACTAGTGTGGTAGCTGATGCAGACTAACAACATCTAGTTGAAAATGAGCTTTTTCAACATGAGAAGAAAGGAAGCTGCCCAAAAAAGCATAGGAACAAAAGATCAACTCCTAATTGACAAGATAATTTTGGAAAACTTCAAGAGAAGGAAGATCAACTTGAATGCACTGTAGCTTGGATTGATTATAAAAAGGCATTCAACTTGCTGTCACGATTGGATAGTCAAGTGCTTAGAAATAACAGAAGTCAGTAGAAACTTCAGAAGCTTTGTATAAAGATCAGTGGCACAATGGAAGACATGGTTACTGTAATAAATTGGGAAAGATTAATATCAAGAGAGAAATCTTCCAAGGAGACCCACTATTACCACTACTGTTTGTCATTACACTGATTCCTCTGTCAACAATATTGAATAACTCAAACCATGGCTATCAAACATCAAAAACATCTGCCAGGCTATTCCACCTCCTTTACTTGGGTGGTTTGAAGCTATATGTAAAAACAGCATCTGAAATAGAATTGCTGCTCAACACTATCCATATATATTGCAATGGAATTTAGATTGGATACATGTGCCATGCTCACCATCAAATGAGGAAAAATAGTGAAAACCACAAAGTCAAGAAGTTGGCTTCATTTTGGCAGTGCAAGATTTGATCTGCATGCAGCAGCAGCAGCAGCAGGTCGTGGTGGTGGTAGAGGAGGAGGAGGAAGGGGAGAAAAACTGAAGGAATCAAGATTGCTATGGAACTAACGAAGAGTCTGGATGAATCGCAAGTATCTGGGTCTCCCTCAAGCTAAAAACATCAAGAAATGAATACATCAAGAGATACATTGAAAATAACATCTATCAAAAACCAACTCACACTACCCAAGTGCTCCATTAACAAAGTAACAACCCAATCTCCCACAAGAACATTATTCAATGTAAGAACATTATTAAAATAAGTAGAAACACACTACTGCAACCCAGAACAACAGAAGGAAACAGATGCTTATATATGTTCTTCCAACAAAATGGATACCCATATAATTTTATCGAAAAGTACCTGACCAGCCCAGTGCAACCAACACAAGCTCTGA